AGGAGCGGAAGGTTTTCCAGACAGGGGTCAATTTTTAACAGCTTTTTCCTGGAATTGCTGGGATGTTGCATCGGGGAGGCTTGTGACTATCACAATGACTAGGTTTTGGGTTCTCGACCTTTACTGCTAAAACTTCCACTACACCCTTTGAGGCTTTTTAGCTTTCTGTGCAAACAAGTGACTCTGCAATGTAAAGGCCAACCCCCCCCTTTTTGCCCTTTTCACTCTGTCACATCTGTATAGGTTGTAACCGGGGATCCATTTTTTCTTTTGTCCAAAGGGTGACCCTTTTATGTGGGTCTCAGTGAAACCGCGAACATTGCCTTTGCCCTGCAAGCCCCCACGGATGAAAGGGTTTTTTGTTGTTTGTTTGCGGGTTTAGCCCGGTATATTTGCAAAGAAGAATTTACCCGGGACTGGGGGTATTGTTGGTACTGGGGGGGATTTTTTTTTCCGGCTTTATATCTGTATCGTTGGTTTGGGTGGGGGGCCATCGACTGTGGTTCCACTCCGGGAATGACGGGATTTGGTGTACGATTTCTCCATTTCCGCCATTTTTTTCCCTTCCGGGCAAAAAAAAAACCTCTCCTTTGAGTGGTGGGCTACCCAGGTTTTTCCCATGGCCTGGATGTTTTGTATCTTTTTGTCCCCTTTAGAGGTATCCTGGAAATTTAAAGTTATAGCACAGTTTTTCCTGTATGAAGAGGTACACAGTTCAGGGTGAAAAAGCTTACAGGAAGGGAGTTTGCTTTTCCTGTTGTCAATGGGATGGCTTTCCTAGGGTGGTCATAGTTGCACGTCCATCTTTTTTTTTTCCTTTTCCCATCCCAGCAGATCCGAGTCAAAGATGTCACAGGTTTGATTTCCGTTTCCCTTTGGGTTTCTGTGACTGTATTCCCTGGGGTGCTTTTCCCTGTCTTACTTCTACCCTCCTTGCACAACAATGGAGCTCCCACCATTGTTTTTGGAAAATTATCCTCACAGCTAGTGGAGTCCTCTTGTTTGTTTTTTTCCCTGGGTTTTTCTAGTTTCAATATTGGTTTTTATTTTATTTTTGACTACATTGTTTCCCTACTATGGTCCTGTCCCCTATAGGCTTTTATATGTTTTTCCTTCCTGCTTTAAAATTCCCGACAAAACCTGCCCAAAATCCCCCAGCTTCCCATACTGTCCCCAGGAAGCATTCCGCTTCCCCATTACCCCCCAGGACGCACTCCGCTTAAACCATTCTGTCTCCCAGGACAGAAACCTCCAGCTTCACCATTACTGTCTCCCAGGACAGCACCCCCAGTTTCCCATTTGTCCCCCAGGACAGCAATATCACCCCCCCTTTACTGACACCAGGAAAATCATCTCCAGCCTTACAGTTTTGACTAATGGCCAGTAAACAAGGGGGGTACCATTCCCCACTTTTTTTTGTTCCCCTCGTTGTAGAAAGCTTCCAGGTTTTCTATGAAAGCAGCTTTGATGTTGACCTCTTTTAATACCCTTGTGATTTTAGTCCACAGATTTATCTAATTTGGGCATACCCAAAAACACTTCCCTGTTTTAATACTGCTTGTAGCATTCTTGGATATCTGCACAAGGGGGCCCTGAC